TATACCATGTTTTTGGGATCATGCAAAAATGCATGATCACAAACTTGCGCAAGGCGTCTTTACAGCTCTGTCTTGATGTACGTGCTCACAAACTTTGTTACAAAATCTCTAAACTTGACAAGGTAATGGGATTGGTAATAGAATTACCTGCCGTAATCATTCAAACACCTACACATTACAAAATGATAGCTCTTCAGTTTTTTTTGCACAATTCATCTTCAGCGGCCCACGCGACTTCGGTTTCTTTGACAGAAGTGGGGATCATAGTGCTCCTTCTCTACAGCACATCCGTACCCGGCAGCCTGAAATATAGGTAGGAGTAATGACGCAGAGTTTCACAGTACAGAGTCTAACATACATCATGCTCCGTCATGCCGGAACGTTCTTAGTTCTTCGTGAGTAAATATTAGCATGAGCATCCACTTTTTTATATCTTGAAAGAGACTTGTCGGGGGTCCAACATGCAATAAGCTGTACATGCAGCTTGACGGTGCCTGGGGGCGTAAAGTTTCTTGCACATAAAACAAATTTCGCACAATTCTAACCATTACAAACAAAAGCAAGTTTCATAGTAGACAGAAAATATGTAAGCAGCTATATACAAGGAACATTGAGCAACAAAATAGCTTGATGCACACATAGAAATTTTCTTAGATTCGAGTTAAAAACTACTCATCAATTGAGATTGCACATCTCATTTGAACACACTGAATGGGGTACTGGAATAATTTAGGGCTTTTAACGAATAATAATTTGCACATGCAATATTCTAGTCTAGCTCTACTGCAGTTTGTTGTGTGTGTGGTACTACTGTTTGCCTGTTAAGTATGCAGGAAGTCATGAATATGTTTATTTTTCTTACTCAATAAAGCTCACTCTGTTCGAGCTCAGGTATTGTTCATCTGCAGTTATATTTATGTTTATCGTTGCATTAAAATTACAAAGTTGATGTGAAAAACTCGACAGATCCCACGTACCTTGGGTATCAATGCTAGGCGTAGCATATGAACGCTATGTGAATATATTTTAATTCTTTATTGAGCGAGAGGATCTAAAATGGCCCTCAATACATGTACGAATATACCCACACACATACATGCAACAGCTGCATATAATTTATATTACAACGGGTACATGCTACTCCAGTGACAATATTAGCAGTTGTTTGCAGTTGCGTAATGATGCCAAGAGAAACATAAATATTAAAACAGCAGAAGTGGTCAGCTCATATGAAGTAGTGGTACTTGCGTTGAGCTTCACGAGGATGGTAGCCCTCAACACAGCGACACAAATCGACCTCAGCGGGTGGCACCTAACTAGAGGTTCCACCTAACTAGCCATTAGGCATCATAACATTAGATTATAATAGTGACTTCGTGGTGCAAATCGAGCTACCTATTGCACAAGGCACATATGTTATTGCGCGTATTTGCTTTGGACCACGTGGTGGCTGCGTAGCTAATTCAAGCCATTTCTCACACATAATTGCCCGTGGTTTAGAGCTTGCCTGCTGATCATTACACAAAATACAGCCTCTTTGACCGCCTAACACAACTGGCCTTATGAAAATGCGATAGCGTTAAAGAGTTTGTTTTGCTAAAATACCGGCGTAGGCGTCGGCATCGGTGTCCTTGGACGCGAGTGAAAGATCATCTTATGCGTGGCCAAATAATAAGGAAACGGTGAAAATAAAATGAATGATAAAAATGCCGGCTCTGCATGGGTACCAAACCAGGATCGTTTCGGTTCGAGTGGAGATCGAACCCAAATTATTTGGGTGGCAAATGATTGTTCTGCTACATGGCCACGCGTCTACTTGTGCATACATTGCAAAGAACTTTCTCTTCTTGGAAAACACAGCGAAAGTACTCTTCGTTCTTTGCAAACACGCGTGTCCTGCGTACATGCTTCAAAATTCAACATGAACTGTCGCAGTCAAAATGAGTAGTACAAGCGGGCGTGAGAACGTGTGATTTACATAATGGCTTGCAGGTTGAATGCCGGTAACCCTCTACAAACGGCACACGCGCGTTGATATTCTTAGGCCCCTTAGTGGATGCATGGCAAGTTCGAAAAAGTTTCCTGCACTAAGTGTTTGAATTGCACACTTCGAACAGGATTTCACTATCGCGTTCAATTCCTAAAATAAATGTTTAGGGTCCCCTAAATTTTTTACTCTACAAAATAAAATACCAACTAACCCGTATATCTACACTTTGCTGCAGTATTACTGTCGGTAAGCCTGCTATATCACTGTCATATAATGCAGAAGTTTTATATTGGCACCACTGCAAATTTGTTGGGATTACACAAATTATATGCTGGCCTCCGCGGTACACGCATACTATCAGTTCGTAAGTGAGAAAGCGCCTGCTGTCTGTCAGACCCATCCACATACGTGCTTCTTTGACGTCATTGGTTGTGATGATGATCACTCATGGTTGAATCTTTTGTTGTCCGTAGCTGTAGTTCACCCATCCACTCGTTGTGAAGAGTTGGTGATTGTGTGACGCCTGGTGCCACTGAACGCTTTAGCTACGCACTCTCTACGCACTCTCTGTGCAGGACAAAGCCTCGCCCGTGTTTCGCCAGTTAGGTAGTACAGGGTTCTCAATCATTCGGACCTTTTTACTGGTTACGTTTTAGTAATCCACCATTTAGACTACTCGTGTCACATGTTACAACACAAGATATGAACTGAGGGGCTGAAAAGCACACTAGAGAAAAGATACCACTACCGTGTTCATCTCATCAAGAAAAATGCACAAAACATGAACAATAAAAGGCAAAAATAAAATAGGAATATTCAAAGTATGACAGCGCCACTGGGGTGGGAGCGCTCATAAGCTACTACAAAAAAGAGAAAGACGAAGGGAGAATGAAAACAGCCGGCCTATTGAACAGGTCGTGTAAGTTTCCCCTTCATATATGTAGATCATGCGTAATTTCATGGTTTTTCTGCCAATTCTCATACAGACATCAGCCTTCCAAGACTAGGAACACCTAAAGATAAGTTGCACACTTCTTGCGCACGTTAACACAAAAGGGCAAGACGAGTTTTGAATCAATGCTTCGCCGAGAAAGTGCTGCTCTGGCAAAACAGATAGCAGCTTCCAGTACAACCACTCTTTCACCAGGAATAGTGCGCGAAGGCGATGGCCTCCTGCAAGTATCCCTCAGCGGTTTCGTCAGAGGTAGAGACCACCGAAAACAATGAGAAGGCAGGAGAAGCTACGTGGAGAAGAATGTCTAGAAAAAATGAAGCTATTTTATGCGAGATTTCAAAAAATTAGCATGCACTGCCGTCCAGAAAGTACGAGCAATGAAGTATTGCCTCACACCATGCGTATTTGCTTTCCGTAAGAAGCAGTTCAGACATGTTGCTCTGTAGCTTTCTCCATCTTATAAGGTGGCCGAAAATAAGAAGTGCGTCCCACTCCCGCCACCACAATGAGTCCTCAATATGCCTAGATAAAAAGATGCTGTTAGCGCGCTTCATGTACACTACAGCAAGCGCGGCAGGCTGGAAAAAATTGCGGGAGCAGCAAATGAGCTGTTGGGTCATCAATAGGACAGTAGGATAGCACAACCAACCCACGACATGTCGACTGGGCAATGCGAAACGTTAGACATCTGTAGTATAAACTGAAGGGAGTGTTACATACTGTGGACGCGGAGGTGAGATGCACATAAGGTTAAAAATATCGAAGCGGTGTGCCTAACAACAATATGCGACCGTTCACCTGGGCGATTTCTTTCCTTGTACGAGGCGCAGCCGGGAGAACAAGGCCTGTAAGTCCTGGCTGCTATAAGTATACAGTTCATTGCTGACCATCTTGTGAAAATCAGCGTGAATGGAAGGAAGCACAGAAATGCAAGGACGTGGGGCATTCGAGTGATTTGACCCATTTGCGATGATGCGCTGATATTTACATGATCCTTCGAATTCCACTCAGCCGCCCTCTAATTTACTCCTGAGAATCACTTGGCTAAGAGATGTATTTCATCATTAAACGTTTTCACAAAAATGTCTTGGTCACCAATATAGGGCAAAACAACAATATCGAAGCAAAGTACAATAAAATTTGTGCAGTGCCAAGTAAGTTAGTCCGCGTAATGCACAAATCAAAAAGCGGGTGTCTGAACGAGAGAAAATAAACACTAGACTAGATGTTTTTACCCAAGGTAAGTAACACGCGCCACATATTTATGGCAAAAAGACGAAGGTGATATACATCTTCTTTGTTACAGTCCATAATTTTAAATGCCCAGGCAGCGTAGAAGGGCTCTTGAAGCTCTTTCAAACACTGTGCTGGAGCTCAATTTTATGTGCTAACAAATAGGTTTGGAATTTCTTGCTACACGAGATTCATAAAGTACTAGTTGTTCTTCTCAAAACAAAATAAACATTAAGAGACTTATCCTAATGCTCTTCACCAAAAACAGGATAGAAATGTGGACATAGACACAGTATTGTTTTTAAGCCGGCTGTTTTTGCTTTTTCTCTTTCTCTAAGATTCGACTTCGCACGCAGAATAGGACTGTCACAAGTACGAACACCATCTCTGGGATTATTTGTGCCTTTCTTAGTCAATTTTAGCACAATTATGATTATTGTGAATCGAAAAACCATGTTCTGTCGAAATGGAAAGAAATTTGAGTTTTGAGAACGTTGTTCGTTCTTTTGTTTGCGTTCTATATAAAGCATGAAAGTAGCTGTGCGTTCATCTTCCACGTATGCAGGGCATCCTTAAAAACGGACAACTAATTTCGAAAAACAGCAATCATCACCAAGTGTTTATGACAGGCCTTCTTCCAGTCACAACCGAAGAGTTCTGTATCAAAATATGATGTGCTCAAGGTGCCTTCTCATTGACGTAAACCTAATTGCACATCCGCGGCTATTCTATATTGTGATGTTTTGCTGTGCCCGCATGGCACCACTTGTCTGCGAACGCCTCTCTGACGCTAAAATACGTCCCAACTCTCTATTTGATTAGCTTGTCCAGACAATGAAGAGCCGGCTACTTGCAGCATTGGAGCCTTCTTCCCACAACTGTATTGTGGTAACGCTTTCACAGACAAAAAGTGGATGTGTCACAAGAAAAACAGAGATAGATGCGTTTGCACTCCACCACTATTTAGAACTGAGGATGGCAAGTGTGTGACCGAAAAAGAATGTAGTAAGTGCACTCTTTTCATTCAACGTGCTACTTTTTAAAGGGTATAGCTAAGTGGCTATTACAAAAGTAGTTTTTGTTAATATTGCGAGAGGGCGGGGGGCTTCATCTTTAGTTCAGAACGAAGGTCTTCTCAGGTGTTCTCATTGCTCGATTTCTTTTAAGTTGTAGTTGTGGTGCTTGGTGAACGTGGGATGCCGGCCAGATAACCCGAACTCATATTTTGCTTTCGAAGTGAAGTTTACAGCAGCGCAAAGCAGGAAGTTTCACAGCTTATGCAAAACAGAATTTTACAGTGCTAAGGGAGGGTATAGTGCCTTGTTCTGCATGAATGAATATATTGTTTATTTTATAACTGCATATACAGGCTGTTGCGGTGAAATTGCACTAGAATTAACGAAAAGCAATGCACTCAAAATTGTCTCTGTTTCGTAGTATTGGTTTTGACGCGTACTTAGAATCGGTTTTAATGACTAACAAACCTTATTTAGTCCCCTTTTTATTCTGGCTCGAGTGGATAAAATATTAAGTTTATGTTTTACCACACCCCCAACAACCTCAAAGAATATAATTGAGAGTTTGCAGCAATCAGGATGGATATTTATTACAAGAATAATGATAGTGCATAAACAAGAGGTATGTGCAAAAGACGTCGCATTTCAAAAAAATTCTAACAATTCTTTATTTTATACACTGTGGTGGTAATTTAGTGTAATTTGCGCAACCTCATTGTTCCTTGTCGAGACTATCCGAGGTATTTGTAACTAGAGCAATGGTGCTTTCAAGTCATAAGGAATGGCACTAAAGTTTTTTGCATTGATCAGGAGTCATGAAGAACTATTTTGATAACTAAAATAATATGCGTACCCATTTTCCTAACGTATGAACGCAGTTATCACTGCACTACTCAAGGTTTTTGAAACATCACAGTCTTATGGTCGAAGGCTGAGGCACCAATTGGTTGTTTCGTCGCATATCACTTCGACAGCAGGGATGAGTTGGAGTGGCGTCGGTGGCAGTGTAGAGGTTGAACCAACACGCTCCGGACAGCCAGTATTAGTGTCGGGCCCCGAATTTACCCTGGTACGAGTACAACGGACTGCTGCCAGCTTCTGTTCGCCGAGTAGAAGGGAGTGAAGCCTGTGGAGCCGGTAAGCAGTGATACAATTCGGGACCTGAACTCGACAAGCGCTTCGGCCTGCGAATGATACGTTCCATTTCATTTTTCGATGCCCCTTGCCTATGGCTTTGATTCTGCGAACCGAGTCCACCTTTTGGTTGCGGAACAGCTTAAAGTGGAGACTGTGTCTGTTCTTCACTCCATCCCGCTACGTCCGCCTCTCCACTGAGCATGTGCGTCTCCTCTTCCTCTCTCTCCTCTCGGCAATGACGAAGGCGACAAAACGCTTACCCAGTACACGCGATAAGTTCGTAGCTGTCGATCGTTGGTATTGCGGCATTCCACGCTTCAGTGAGACAGAGGGACCAGCTTTTTAGCAGTGCTTTACTCATGGTCACCGGCAACGTTGGCCATCAACAGCATCGATGGCAGCGGTCACCGACATGAAGTGATTGCCACAAGCAACGTTACGGAGGTAGATAATATGGAATATTTGTCTTTCTTTGAGACGATGATGATGAAGAAAAAGCCATCAAAAAGCACGCGGGAACTTTATGAAAAAAAGAGAAAGAAGAAAGCGTCCACCATGGACTGTTCCAACTGGTATGTGTAAATAATGTTAATATATAGCCTTGTTTCTTCAGAAGCCGTGACCAGTTATTTCACAAAGTGCTGCCGAAACCCATCCGGGGTGCTCACCGGGACAGTACGTGCTACCAGTGTTCATCGGGAAATTTCGAACGGAAGACAGCTTGTCGTGAGGACCGCGGCAACCTTAGAAGAAAGCCAGAAAAAAAGTCCTGAAGGGACATTTTCCGCTGTTTTTCACCGTGACAGCAAACAGACCGTCGATTGTGGTGAGCTTGGTCCCCCATTTTTGAAGCAATATGAATCGCGTCAGAGCGCTAAAAGAGAAGTGATCGGCACGACGACAGATGAATACGCGTCTCATCAATGAAACCAAAGCCGTGAATGAAAGTGCTTACAGTGCAAATATTTCATCTTTGAACAGGTACAAGGCAGTGATGCAGATTTGGCTTAAGGTAACGCCGAGCTGGAAGAGCTTATCCCAGAGGTGAGGTTCGCTACAGAGTTTAAAGCAGTGTTGACATATCAAGACGCTGCGCTAGAAATGCTGGGACAGCTGAAGGCTTGGGAGTGCCGATTGCGTCAAACGCATTGTCCTACGACATTCGAGTCCCTACCTTCAAGGTCATCCCAGACTCCCAAGGATCGCACACTGCGCAAGGAAATGAAGCTTCCCACACTCCAGCTGCTGACATTTGACGGAAAGTTCTACCAATGGCCTTCGTTTTGGGAGCAGTTTAGGACCACTGTCGAGGAAAAGAAAAACCTGACAAAAGGGAAAAAAATTCAATATCTAAAGACTCTTCTGGAAGGGCACCCAGCCGCCGCTATTTCTGGGCTGAAAGCGATGGCCGAGTGCTATGACGGTGTCATCAAGATTAAGAGACGTCGTTTTGTAGATAACTGGCGTATTGTACAGGGCTATCTACGCCGACTGCGTGCTCTACCAGCAGTTGATTCTTCGGAAGACGTCTACAGTTTTCGAAAGCTGTTGGAATATGTGCAGTGACTCATCAGAGGTCTCAAAGGAATAAACGCTAGTCCTGCTAGTTTTGCAACTATGCTGACAGATATTTTGTTGAAGGCATTACCAACAGACATCGTGATTGGCTACTACCGGAAAGAAGCTAACCTAAGGTCACCACCGTCCACGACAGACAATGCAGGCTCAAGACAACAGCATGACTCATCATCGACAGGCACAGCCGAGAAAGAATTGCAAGAACTCCTGAAGTATCTTCGCGTGAAATTTTAAAGCTGTGAAAGAAGTGAAGCCCATAAACCTAAAGAAAAGAAAGGATAAATAGAAAAGAAATTTGAACGCTACTCTACTAACAGCAGTGGTCTTGCAGTCTTCGTAGAAAGCTCAGAATAAAGACTGTCTGTTTTGTGGATCTGCAAAGCACGCTACTCCAGTTTGTGACAGCAGTATTACCCATGAAAAAAGTTGAAAAAATTGGCTGCCGAGAAGTGATGTTATCGATGCACCGTAAAAGAGCATCTAGCCAAGGACTGCTACAGAAAAGTCAATTGCGCAACATGCGGAGGTAGACACGTTTCGTCAGTGAGCGATCCCAAGTGGAAACCGAGGAAGCAAGAACACGAAGGCTCCATAACTGCAAACCGTCTGCATACCAGCTCTCCTTCTTACGTGGACTCTGGTGTCTTACTGCAAATATTTAGGGCATGGGTCATAGGGAAAACGCCAAAGGCCTATAATCATGGCTTTGCGAACAGCCGAAGCCAGCGTACAATTATTCGTGAAGATGCATTCAAGACGCTTGGATTGAAAGAACTTCCATCGGTCATTCTACAGCTAAATGTATTTGGACAGACAAGTTTCGTTCCGAGAAAAAATTGTGTCGTCGAAATAAAGCTTCACAGTCGGTATGACACCAAGGAGTACCTGTTAGCCACCATAGAAGTACCATTTGTCTGCAAGGATATTGTGCAAGTACCACCTGACCATGAATTTGTGAGAGACACCGAAATCGAGGGCCATCTTTCTGCTGACAAGTTGGTGATACGGGGCATGGCTGTAGTTCCAGGAATCAGCCTTTTAATTGGTGCTGATCAGCTTGGGAAATTCATGTCGGGAGAGACAAAGCGATACCATCGACGGAAAAGCTTGGTGGGGATGGGTTCTGCCTTTGGATGGATGTTGCAAGGGCCACTTTCTTTTGACACCTGTTTGGAGTCAGCTCTCAACGTATGCGTCTTGCGACTAAGTACGTCTCCTGACGCTACTGACGAGATATCTACAGAGGTTCTGGGACTTGGAGAGCATCGGAGTTATGCCAGCCGAGAACACCCCGACCAAAGAAAAGAACAGGGTACTGGAGATATTTGAACAGGAGGTTACTTTCTTCAATGGTCGCTACCAAGTCGCGCTTCCGTGGAAAAAAAGTTCTGGACAACTAGATGATAACCGAATACAAGCCATAAAGCGACTGAAGTATCTAAGAAAAAGGATTGATGATAACCGAATACAAGCCATAAAGCGACTGAAGTATCTAAGAAAAAGGATTAAGAACAATTTAGAGTTTGCTGTGGAATATGATGCCACCATCAAGAACTATAAGAAGATGGGGCATGTAGAGAGAGTACCTCATCAAAGTGTGAAGCAAGCAGCTCAGATTTACTACATGCCACATCATGAAGTTGTGCGAACCGAGTCCACGACAACTTATGTAGGAGTAGTTTTTGACGCATCCTCTCACAAACCTGATTCCTCACCCCTTAATGAACATCTCGAAAAGAGACCAAAGCTGCTAGCCGACTTGGTTACTCTTCTCATACGCTTTCGCTTCTACCATGTTGCTCTGACAGCCGAGATAGAGAAAGCCTTTCTTCAGATTAGCTTAAAAATGGAAGACCGAGACGCACTAAGATTTCTATGGTTCAATGAAATACCGTCTGAGAGTAACGTTGAGCCTGAAGTAGAGGAATGGCGCATGACAAGGGTTCCTTTTGGTACCATATCAAGTCATTTCTGCTCAACGCCACACTATAACATCACATAAAGGCAGTGAAAGTTCCAAAGGAAGAACTGGCCAAGCGGCTTGCAGCATCATTTTATGTATGACATTTTATCGGAGCTGAACATGGGGATTCAGCAGAAAGAATATACAGAGACGCAAACGTCATTATGGAACGAGCAGGAATGCGTTTGAGGAAATGGTCATCAATTTCCGAACTGCTGAGTGATCTCATTAGTACAGCTGAAGGAGATGGTGCAAGCGCAGGAGTTGTCAAGTTATCGCGGCTCTTGTGAAAACCTCTGACAGATCAGATT